GCAACAGGGAACCTGCATCAATCCCACTCAGGAACAAGTCAGGTTTTGGGTCAACCACCGATTCTCACACCAAGCAGCCAGCAAGAGATTCGGAACCACCCGAAAAATGTCCTAAGCTTCAGCATTAGGGGAATTGGAGCAAAACCATCCCGTCCTTTTAAAATTCTACCTTGAACAAATGGTTCATACCCCCAATCCAGATGCTGAATGGACCCATTCAAACATTAGGCTGCAGTGATTTATGACGTCGACTATCCTTAAATGTGCACCTCTTGTTGAGTGGTATGCCGATGTTCGAACTTGTACAAATTCTTTGAGTTGCTACCCTAAGGTAAGGGGGTGTATGATACCCCGGGTTGCTTCATCTGTATAGGTTGGTTTAATATAGATATTTAATCTAAGAATATGATCATGCAGAGTTGTAATTGAGGCCGTTTGCAAGGGTCCAATATATCCTCCGCAGGTTTTTTAATAATTTTCATGTCATGGATCCCTAAACAGACACAGATGGCGTTCCTCTTTGGTGAGTTTTTTATCCCTCCTGTAGGATCTATTTTTTTCATCTGGATGTGGAGATTATAAAGATGAAGATAAAATGTGTAATTAAAATTAGGATGAATAAAGCTAAATAACAGTACAAATCTCTTTCACATGTTTTTTTTATGGATCCCCGAAGGACCCAAAGGGATCCTTGAACATTAGTTTGAAAGCTTAATATTTATGATGTCACTCGTACACACGGCCCAAACAAAAAATTGCTAATACAAAGTACTAATAAGTAGGCTTTAGACTAAATAAATACCCTGCATGTAGTCAAGCTAATTAACCTAATGGAATGAAAGCAGTCTGGTGGTGACTTCACCACTGAGGCAACTGAGTTCATGGAAGTGTTTTTGTGCTCATATACTGACATCTGTTGGCCATTTCTTGAAATTGCACCGCTACTACGGCGTCCGTGAGAGACCATTGGAAGTAGTGGAATTGCGGTTTTCATGCTGCCTTCACTGTTAATGGGAAATGTTGAGACTAGAAGTTGTGCATTCAAAAATGCTCAAAACAAAGCAACGAAATGGTACACAATGGATGAGGATGGATAGGATAGGCGTACTACAGTGTCTATTCAACCGCCCTCACACATTAATGGCATGGAAATAAAAGTTACAAATTCTTGAAATATCGACATCAATATTGAATCTCACATTGAAATTGTGACAGAGACGTGTGTGTTTAATGTTCAGTTGCATGTATAAACAAACCTCAGTCAGATAAAGAATTAAAAAGGCAGACTTTAGGAATAGTAAGTAAACTATTTGACATGTTGGATGCACACACAGCCATAAACATTCAAGACACATATACAAACCACAAGGGGCAGATCTATATTCATGGGGTGGCCAGAGAATGGCAGAAATATATGCTGATTTAATCGCACACCCTCACACATATGAATATTTGCTTTGAAAAAAAACCCTAAATAAAGATATCTGAACTCAAACACATTACATTGTTGAGTATTGAATACAAATATCTTAAGGTGGCATAAGAAATCAATATATTGTTTGATTTTTCCACATTTCCAGTCTAAAATTTAGCCATAACAGATCATTAAATTACCTGTTAATTTCCATTTCTTAACATCTTCTTTTTTTAAATTAATTTAAATTCATGTGTTTAATTTGAAAGCATTTGACACCAAATTGGGGTGGCATGGTAATTTTTAGGGGAGCCACCACCCCATGCCACCCTGTAGGACTACAATAACCAAGCAAACACGGCGGTCTGCAAACAAACTTACCAGTGTTGTTTCCATCCAGCAGCTGTCACTTTGAGTCCAATCCAGCAAAAATAGCACATCCAATAAAACCCACATGAAATATCCACTGTTGAAAAAAAAACCCCAACACTAACATTTTCACTGGCTTGGCTAGTAGGGGAGCTAATATCAGCAGGACACTTGCAGACATGGAGAGATTAGTTGCTGAGAGTGAGGAGACGTTTGTGAGGGAACAGGTAAGGCCACAAGAATCAGATCAGAAACTGATCTGGACTTTTTCACACTTTTATTATTGTGCTTGAAAGATAATTTCATTCTGTTTTGAGCCACCCTGCCCTCTCATGAATAACGAACAGTCCCTACGCACAGCAGGCCATGTGCACAACCCAGTTCTGTTTCCGCAGACCCGAAGAAGGGGAAATTACGAGGCGCCATGAAGGCAGCAAAAGGCTATGGTTGCATTTGTCCCACAACAGCGCCATCCCTCCGTGCTCTGTTTTTGTGGAAGACCCCCCTCACAGGAAAGAGTTTGGCCAGGAAAGGGTTAAGGAGTTTATAGGGTCCAGATCGATGCCCCTCTCCCACACGTCGCCATGAACAAATGAATTCGCGGGGAATTAAATATCATTTTCACAAAGGAGAACGAGTCCTGTGCTTTGAACCCGACCCCACCAAGGCTAAAGTGTTGTATGACGCTAAGGTAATGTTTAGCTCAAGTAATTTAGCTCCACGGTTTGAGGACTTAGTAATAACAAATAATATATGATGGAAAAGCAAGGTAGATACTGTAAGGTTAAAGATATAACGTTGGGAGTCGACCGTGAAGGCCACTTTAGGCCTTTGTAATATAACGTTAGCTGTTCATGTAACGCTATCTGGTTTCCGGGGTACGTTTGATTGCACATGGTTTTTTTTTAAACGCATGTTTTCATGTTTTTTTTAAGTAGTAAAGACAAATAACGTTATGTTGTTTTGTAACGTTAGCTGTTAGTTCGTTTTAAACTAGCCTCCCTGGTGAGACACTTCAGCCAAAACTATTACCACTGCATGCAGTTATGTTATTTAAATTAACGCTGGAGATATTTTATAGCCGGGGTAGTTATCATTCAGAGTACTTTAATGCACCTAAAACACACAATAAACAAACGCACCACCACATCTGCCCCGCTAACTTGGCCAACACGGACTATTGTAACACTTACTGAGGTCTGTTTTAAAGCCACTGCATGCGAACTAACGATACGGTGTTTATGTGTTTGAAACAGACTAAAAAGCCGAGTTTAAGTTTTTATTTTCTTGTCTGTTAACTCGGTTGTTTTGACTAAGCTAGGTGGCTACTTAGCTGTCAGGCTAAAGCTAATGGAGGGCAACTGAGTGTTTCCATCGACTCACACTGGTTTGCCTTTTGCTAACCGATGTTAGAGACCTAAACGTTACCAGTAACATGTAACTAAATGTGTGTGAGATGCAGTGGTGTAAGACGCTTCAGGTGTTTCACAGACGAAGCTGTACAGCAATGTGAAACATTAACATACGTTTGAGTCCTGCTTTCACAATTGTTACAGCCACTTAAAAGTATGAAAAGCAAGATGCTGAATGCTCCGTTTTATCATTTTATCAGCATCATTTTAGTGTTATAGCTGGGTTATTTGATGCTAAGTTGAGAAGGGCATTAGTATTGTGTAATTACTTGTACATTGAGTTGCACATTAATTATAAACAGATTTTACTGCTATTCCCGAGTTTCTTGCAATTTATGAGGAAAGCTAATGCAGCTAGTTCCAAGCTAAACTGTAAGGTTGTAATGAGGTTATTATAGTACTTCAGTAGCCCAATAAAGTAAACTAAATGATAATGACTGATTTGCCATTTTGTTTTTTTTTGTTTTAATATAATAATATATATAATAATAATATTTCCTGTTGAAAATGCAAAGACTTTCAAACCCACTTGAGCCTCTAGAAAACGCCGCGCTCATCGTGTGTTCACATTACAGGTCCTTGATGTCTTGATAGGTACAGATGAACATGGAAGAAGAATCCCAAAGTACCTGATTCACTTCAACGGTTGGAACAGGAGGTAACATTAATTAATTGATCATCTACTTTTACCGGTAGATGAACCCAGAATTACTGCCATCCACCTACCTAACTGTATCATACTCATTGTAGTGTGTATCGTTGCAGAATCTCATGTTCATCAACTTGTGTAATGATGCAGGTGTGTGTGATTTTTATTATTTTTTTTAAATGTGTGTGTGTTTTTGGGTAGCTGGGATCGTTGGGCTGCAGAGGATCATGTCCTAAGGGACACTGAGGAAAACCGTAAATTGCAACATAAACTGGCTCGCAAAGCTCTAGGTCGCATGTAAGTTCATATTATGTTCATTCATTCAGCCGTGGAGGTAAACACCATCAAAATATCTTAACTATTGAGTATATTTTCATGTATGTGTATCTGTTTCAACAAGGACGGCACAATGCTGCCAGTGAAAATACATGACACTTGTCGCTTTTCTGTCTTTCGAAGAGACTAATACAGATGCCATGTGTTTTTGTTTTCTGTCCTGGCGGTAGGAAGAGAAAGGGATGGGCGAAGAGGCGTCGTCGTCAGTCTGGTACTAAATCTTCTCTGAAGACTCTCCCTAAGGAGGACGACAGTGATGACGCATGTGAGAAATCTTTTTCTCGTCCTTGTGTTTTTCGCTCCCAGCCTCCCTCAGCAATCACATTAATCCCTCTCCGTACTTTTCACCGTCACCAGGTCTGATTTCGTCTTCGGAGAGCAGTGACGGCGACGATTCTGACCCTGACTCTTCAAATAGCGGGGACAGCACCTTCTCTGAGGATATTAACAAAATGGTGAAGTGGATCAGTGCAGTTTCCATCTCAGAAAGGGGCATAGATAGACCAACATTTACATTTTAGGCCTTTAGTTGATGCCGTTATCTCGACCGACTTGCATCAGAAAATTATGTTAATTTCCTTCATTCCAGTGTAATGTACGTTTATAGTAAACACCTGTGGCCTTGTAGGTTAAACATAGTCTAGATCTTACTGTTATCAGTTTGGTAAACCAATATTTTTATGCAAACTAGCTGACTCACCCTAGTTAAAACTAGTTAAACCAAACATGAGTTTTATAGCCGTGACTTTTCCACAGAAAGCCATATCCTCTTGGGTTCTATAGAGCGTCTACCTGAAGGTTCGTATCTCGTTTGTTTCAGAGGGTTGAGCCGGACCTTAATGTTAAGAGGGAGTGCGAGGAGAAGGTCGTCCATGTTGACATCAACATCCCGGATATTCTGAAGAAGAAACTGGAGGATGACTGCTTTTACATCAACAAGAGGAAGAAGGTATGTGCAGATCGTAGGGAGTGTTAAACATAGTCTTTTAGGAATTTGATACATGTATTGTGAAGCAGGTGTCGCCCTGACAGCTCACTTGGTAGAGCTGGCGCCCTATGTACCAGGGCTCCTTGCTGGTTCCACTCCGACCTGTGGCCTTTGCTGTGTCTTTCCTGTCGCTCTTCAGCTGTCACTATCAATTAAAGGGAATAAAATCCCCCCCAAAATTATATATTAAAAAAAGCATGCCTAAATTAAATCAACCTGAGGCTTATTCATAATTGGCTCTGTTTTTTTCCCCCCTAGCTGGTGATGGTTCCCTGTCAGACGAATGTCGTGCACATCCTAGAGTCCTACGTCAAGCACTTTGCCATCAATAAAGCGTTCATGGCCAACGAGAGGTACCGGCGTCAGCAGACCACCACACAGAGCAGCAGCCCCCAGCCGATCCCTCCAGAGAAGAGGTGAGCCTGAACACACATGAGCCAACATAGATCATCTGCCAGCGGTGAAATAATCGTTCATGTTTATGAAATTATCAGATTCATTTCTACATGTGCATGTATGATTATAAGCTTTAGTTATGAGGTAATGATCCTTAAATTTTCTTTTCAGCGAGGAGTTGTGTAAGGAGATGGTCGACGGCCTGAGGATCACGTTTGACTTCACCTTACCCATGATCCTCCTCTACCCCTGTGAGCAAGCTCAATTCAAAAAGGTCAGCTCCTCCAGGGTTTTCCTGGCCGTCAATGAAAGCTCCCCCTGCTCCAGCAAGTAAGTGTTTGATGATAAATCGACATGCTGTTTCAGAAACCACTGCTTGGCTGCAGTGAACTGCATTTTGTCTGTTGTGCTTTACCGTGAAGCTGTAAGCCTTTTTCTCTCCATTTGCGTTTGAAGCGCCCAGCGAGAACGCAGCCCGAGCCCGTTGGGGCACAACCCTCCCACCCCCCAGTCCACAGACAGCCAACCTGCCCTGAGCGACATTTCTGCAACCACTCCCACCGCCCCAGCCCCCACCCCGAAGCGCCGGCGTCACCCTGACATGGACTGCATCTCATACCAGTCGCAGTCGCTCAGACGCTCCACCAGGAACACATCTGGAGGTGACCGGCCCGCTGAAGGAAGCAGTGGAGGTAATTTTTGAAAACAATCCAACATTGCATTGCCTATAAAGAGACTGTATTCTTGTATGTTTTATCAGTAATTTGTGGGATCTCTCATGTTTTGTGAAGCATATTGCTACAGTTATTTTTCTGTAATAAATGTGATGACCCAGGAGGAGGCAGTGCCACAGCATCCCCGCAGCTCAAACGCCGTTTAGTTGATACCTCATCCCAGCCCAAGTTCTTCCTCAACCTCGACAGAAGTAAGCTGACACAAAAAATATTACTTATTATTATTATTATTATTATTATTGTGGTATTACTCTGTCACATTCAAACTGACCTTGTAAAGTTTTCTATCGCTACATATTTATTCCTATTTCCACTCTATGAAGCTCATCCTTTGACTTGTCAAGATGTATGTATGTATATATTGTCCTAGTCTGTTAAATAAAGCTTTTAGTATAATCATGTTAAGTGTACTGACAGCCTTTTGTGTTTGTAATAGCCAGTTTGACCCAGTAGATGGTGCTATCCTACTTCTTTCCTCCCACATTCATCCCCTGTCAACTACACTCTCCTTAGACTAACTTTGCTCCCTCAAAACTTTTTGTTGCTTGCATTAATCCTTGCTGTCATTGATTCATTTTGGTTAATGAGCAATAAGCTACGCAGCAAGAAGTTTATTTTTTAAACATGTTGTCGCTCTCTGTTCTTCCACTTTACCCAGAAACCCCAGTGCACAGTGGCTCATCTTCCCCGCTGCCCTTGACGCCAAGCAAAGAGCGAAGTGGGCCTTTCTATGGCCTCGAGAGCCGGAGAAACAATGAGCTTAATGAGGTGATTAAATTGTGTGAACACACTGTAAGCGGGAAGAGATGCGATGACTTGCTCAAGGACACTAGCATAGTTACATAAATTGCCTCCCTCATTGCAGGGAGAGAATCTAAGCAATCCGTATGAGGTCTAATTGTCAGACAACGCAAAATACCAAATATGTAAAACTTTTCTTGCTTGCACTTTTTCAGGCCCATGGTATCGCCAAGTTAACATTGACCAATCAGTTGAAGCATATTTATCAGAACTTCATTACCAGTTCAAAAGTGCATTTCAGATTCAGTGAATAAAATATGTTGTAAGTTTCTGTTAAATGCTTTTTCATTGTACTCTGTCAACCAGGTCCTCAGTTGGAAGCTGACTCCTGATAACTACCCTCTGAACGACCAGCTTCCTCCCCCCTCCTACCTGTACGGCGCTCAGCACCTTTTGCGGCTTTTTGGTTGGTGTCTTTGATGGTTTTACTCTCACTGGTTCTCTGTACTCATTTCCGCAGTTGAATTGTTACTGTTTTGATGATTCCCGCCAGTCTCTTGTCCCTTTGTGCAACTCCTCCCATGCTCACCGTCTTGCTTTTCTTCCAGTGAAGCTTCCTGAGATCTTGGGAAAGATGCAGATCCCTGAGAGGAATCTTCGAGCCCTGGTCAAGCATTTAGAACTCTTTCTCAGGTAAACGATAATTGTGTTCAAATGTAGCAGTGTTATTACCTTTACGCATAAGAGGTACGTTCTTTACAAAGCAAGAGAGGCATAGAAGCGACTTAATTAAAATGGGTTAAAGAATACAGGTTTGTTCACGCTGTGCAGATGGGACACAAACAATCGTTGGAGCACTCAGGCCTGAAGGCTTAAAGTCGCTCCACTAAAAGATTCACACATAATATTGAAGTCTCACCCCCTTCTGGAAAAATAGATTGTTCCGTCAGGTGGTCAGAAGCTGTATGAAGTCAGATATAATTTCCCTGGAGGATAAATCATTCAGAAGGTGAGGTGCCGCATTCAAGGAATGGGACATTAACTAGGAACTAAAATGCACCTTGCTAATAACCTGCACGGTCCATTACCCGAGGTTTGACCTCGCTTTAAGTGTTAAAGCTCAATAACAACTACCTGAGCTACAGGAAGTTCTCATTTCACAGGGAGAGAGGAAACCTGGAAGCTACTGGCACAGTCTGTAGAACAGACAATCACATTTAGTGTCTTATCTCCACTACCGCGATGTAGTGAAGTGTTTGGTAGCCTGCGTGACAGGAACATAGAAAAAGCAAGGGATTAAAAGATGAACGACAACAATAGAATTCCTAGAAACACAAAAACAGTGATTGTCAGGAAATTATCAATACACCACAATAACCAAAACAAAAAGGCAAGGAAGAGTAAAGTAAATGAGAACACGGAGGGGAGGAAGAGATGGAGTGAGAAAGAGAATGTGTTAGAGGGAGGGAGATGAGTGGGCGTTACACAAGCGCGGGAGTCTAATCTTTAAATCCTCCCTAGCGATCTTCAGTTCAGCCGGTCCCAAACCTGGGGGATTTAGGTCCTCTCATTCTCTAATCAAACACACGCAGTACCGCCTTCTGCCACCAAGCAGTGCTGTGGAGCAGCACTTGAACTCACCGTGGAAGTGGGCACAGTGACAAACTTGAGACTGAGAGCCAAAATTACCTCTGTTCCCCCACTCAACCAAAAAAAAATTATATAAATAAATAAACTGGAGCTCTGTACTTGGTGCCACAAAAACCACAAGGTGGTCTTTGAAAATAGCTACAACTAGCATTTATGTGAGACGGGTGTGCAGTATGAAAGGATTACTGTATTCAGCTATGTGATGCCTTCAGCTGATATTTTTTGTCACGGCGGGACAGAAGTCTTCTAAACCAGCGTTGTCAAAATGGGACCATAACACTCGGTGCAAAATGAAATACAGAGACCTTATTATTTTCAGTAGCATTAGCAGTTCCTCTGGGCAAAGCATCTCATGCAGTGTCATCAGCAGTCGAGGAAACATGGGTAGAAGGGTCTTTTACTTCACTCCACTGGCACTGGATGCAAATCACTGATGCATCTCTTGTCATAGAACATTAATCTGCAGAACGTCACAGACAATAACTTGCAAAGAAGAGTGAAGTGCTTTTAACTTTTGCACTTTCAATCTCCTCTGTAGCTCTGTGATGAGCCAAGACAGGTTGATAATACGGAATGGAGAATATATGCTGACGTTTTTCCTCGGCAACTAATTAATATTTTGACTGTGCTGGGGACTCTGCAGGAGGCTGGACACAAACTGAAACAGTGGGAAAGCCTTCATGCCTTTTTACTCTGAAATCAGCCTCGTGGCAGATTGTGCCGAGCGGGAAAAAAAACTGATTGATGTCGCAGAGACTGAAGTGCATTGCATTCTGGGATTTGGCCACAGTTGATCTCTCACTCTCCCTTTCTCCGCAAGAATGATTATGATTAAGTGTGGGTGTGTGCGTGCACACGTTATGCTGATTTACAATGTGTATGCCTAAAGCGGCTTGCCTTGTGTTATTACTGATCTCACAACTATAGAGATTAGCACAAGTCTGAATATCCTGCACCAAACAGCCCAAAAAATTTTTTTCCAATTAATAAATATGCATTATAACCTGTTCAGTGCCTTTCAGTGAATCATAATGATTTACTTTTTTTAGCTGGCAGTGAAGAATTAGGTTTAAATAAACTTAATTTATCTACTTACTTTTGATTTGTTCACTGCAGGGTTCTCCCGTGTTCCCTTTATGGTCCCATTAGGTTGTCTTGTTTGTTATTCGTTGTCAAATCGTTCTTAAGTTTTCCTCTGATGAGGATAATTTGTTTGCATTGAGATTAGGAGGGCCGGTGGAGCTAAGATGAGATGGCAAGATTTAGAGGATTTGGCCGAGTAGCGGATACTAAGAAGATTCCGGATTAGTTTTCCCCGCTGCTGATTAGATGGGAGGGTGGGGTGGGGTGGGGATTTTTCACTCTTTCCCTCTCTGACTGTTGGTCGGTCATTCTCATGTTCTCTGTCTTTCTGTCATAGCGATTGGTTCTCTGGTGGCGGTATAGGGATGGATGAGGAGGCTTTGTCTTTGGCATATATACCCCAGGACAGAGGTCAAGGGGTCTAGGATTTATGTGGAATGAGCCAGGGATATCTAGGAAAACCTGAAGTTAAAGTGAACTGGAACGTGACATATGAGATGCTTTCCTGCCTCACGTAAGCCTATCGGGGTCCGTGCTGTTTTGTCATGTGACAACCGGCTTATGTTGAATATTTAATGTGTCGAAATATCTCACCAGATTTCCTTCTCTTGTACTTTCCCTTTCCCGCCCTCTCTCATTTAGGTTTATGGCAGAGTTCAACGAGGATTTTTTCCCTGAGTCGGCATATGTGTCAGCATCCGAGGCCCACTACAGCATGAAACAACCGAGGCCAGTTTATTGAAGGAGACGTCGGGCCATTGTGCTTCCTTCCCTTGCTTGTCTCTACACTGAACTTCCCCTTCAGCTTGTTGAGACCGACCTGTCCGGGCTCGTGCGCAGAGGACTAAGTAGCAGCTTTCTCTGGACTTCAGCTGCGTTGTTGTCCTGGACAAACCTTTTTCTCTGCCTCTGGCCTAATGTTAGTTTTCCCGCCGTTGCCGTGTGGAACCAGTTGCTTCGAACGCGCCACTAACCCTCACCCAATGCTCTGTTTGTGGGACTGCCCTGCATGTCAAGCAACCTTGCGCTGCTTTGCTTCAGTGTACTCGTCCAAGGCATGTGTGTTGGCATGCGCTACCATTCCGTAAAGCCCCACATAAGGTTTAATTCATAGGAGAGAGCTGCTCATCTGCTATTTTTCTTTTTTTTTTTTTTTATTACCTGGCCTACACTTTTTAAAGCCAGGCTCAGGCTGGGAAGTTCTCCAGCCTCTGTAGGTATTAGAGGCCGGATAAAACAAGTTTTGAATCACTCAGCTGTGGGCAGAGCTCCTTTTTCGCCCACTCTGACCTTGTGGTTCCTCATAGCCACAGTTTTGGAATATTGTGTTAATAGGAAGGGACACAGATTGAAAAGCCCTGTGTTCTTGTTCTGGCTGCCCAATAAACTCACTTTGAATACTCTTCAGGGCATTGTATGTTTGCTTGCCTGCTTGGTAGTGTGGGCCCCTCTCAGTGTTGTGACTTCCTGTAAGCGCTTCCATTGCAGCGCCACCAGTGATCCTCTTTCGGAAATAATTCCTCTGCAGCTACAGCAGGACTTGCTCTTCTTATCCTGGAGATGCTTCGCTGCTTTCGCTGAGCAATTCTAATTTACCGATGCGCTAAAACTTTCAGGAATGTCGTTTTGTTTCCTCTGGAATGTTCTTTTGCATTACACTTTTTGGATGTGTAATGTCCACTTACTGTCCATGAGACATTGTGTTTCTTGCTTTGTTTTGCTTTTCATGTTGTCCTGTTCATGTCCGATAAATGCCGAGCAGCTTTTTATTTAAATGTTTTCTACCCGTTCCTCTCACCGTCAGTAACAGACAGCATAAGACACAATGGCAAAGCGTGTGGCTCCTTCATTTTCATACACAGCAAAGTTGTAATATCTTGTACTGAAAGTAATCTTTACCAACAGGTAATCTTAACATACCGTTAAAAACCGGAGGCTGAAAACAGTATTTTCAAATATTAAAGATTGTTTTAGACCTATTCAGTGCAATCACTTGAATGTTTCAAAACTCAATTAGTTTACATGTATGTGATTTACAACTTAACAACGGATGCTGTTTGCCAAACATTTTATAAGAAATAGTCAGAAACTAATATCTGTAAATGCAACAAAAGCTAATTTTTAGTTTGTCATGACATTGTGAAAATGTAAATACAAAACACCTGTTGATCAGTATGTTATTTATTTTTCTTTGCACACCACTGGATCACTGTTCATATGTTGTTTGTTGAATTGGTTATAAAATACTTGACAAGACCCATTCCAGACATCTGTCTATGCAGTATCATATAAACCACTGTATGTATAATACAATGTATGTTTCTTGTGTTATGTACAGAGGTATGTTTTGCATAGCCTGTAAACTTTTCTGTTTATTTCCAACAATGTCTGTTTACTTTTCTTCATAGAGTTTCAAATAAAGACTTCCTAAAGCTTAACAACTTCTCACATGTAGAAAAAGCACCATGACTGTGTCTGCCCACACTGCCCTGCTCGGTTTTTCCAATGCGTTGTACTACCTTGATCGATGCCTGCTCATTCCTGCGCCTCTTCCTTCCTTCTTACCGTTTTTTATTTTTTTTTAACTCTAAGATAAATCCACAGGGAGCTGGCAAATAGATTTGAACCACAGAAAACCTCACAAAGCACTACCCTATTAAAACTTAAAAGCAGATGGGAGAATTTTATCAGCTACCTTGACCTTCCATATCCCCGGACTACAGCTGATTAAAACTTGAAGTCTAAAAATGCTGTCGCCACCGCTTGACATTTTGAATCTGCTGTCCCTGTCAACATGGCTCTTCTGTTTTGTCTTTGAGCTACTTAAAAGCGAACCCCCTATTGAATCTAGCTTGTTTATGTGAAAACTTGACACTACTTTGACACTATTTAATCAAAGGTCTTTAAAGATAAAACTACCAGAATAAAAGCCCAAACGGCAAGACAGGGTCTGCTATTGATGTGCTATGATACTGTCCGTTGCCCTGCGAGCTTTGGAGAGCAAGTGGAAATTTTGATCAAATCAATGTACCCTTGTCTGCTGAAGATGGATTGTATCTTCTGGTACTTGTTGTTCTAAGCAGAGGTGGACATGTTTTTGGCAGAGATGAAAGATCAACATTTTGCTCCAAATCAGGCACTTTTGAGACTGGTAGTCCTCGAACACCACTGTGTTGAGGGACGTTTACAGACTTGGTGGGCAAAGTTACAGCAATATAATAATACAGCACATTTGTCCAATGTGGTCAGTTCAAGAATCAATAGTCCCTCCTGCAGCAGGCAGTGTTGCGTCCATCAAAAGTGACACGTGGGATCCTTTCATTTTAGCTTAGCATAAAGACTGGAAGCAGGGGGGAAGAGCTAGCAACCAGCACCTTTTTATAGCTCATGATAAATAATTCCATTAGTAAATGATTTACTTCCTCCTGTACTGCAAATTACTTGTTTTTACATTTCTGTTTATTTTTGCATTTAACAAATGAGACACATTGTGTTTATTAATTAGCTTTAGAGGTGCTGCTAGGCATGTTTTTCTTTCTGTTTTGCCAGGGTTGCTGTCTTCCCCCTGCTAAGCTAAGTGACTTCTGGCTTCTGGTTTGTCTGGACTGCTGTTAGAGAAATATAGATAATATAATGCAGAAGATTTGCTATTGTTTTATATAGTAAGCTGAGTCCTTCCTTCTATTGCCATGCTATCATGCAGATTCTGATCTGATTTGATTATTTTATATATTATAACTGTACAACAATAAATGACTATTCTGGTGCAGTTGACCTATAGGCATACGCTTGAATACCCTGAAAAAGTTAAATACTAAAAGGAACTTGGATTTGATGAGCAAAGTACCCAAGCACTGTATCTTTACTTTCTGCAGAACTATGCTCTTAGTCTATTCCCAGTGCACCTATGGGGAGGCTGGCTAACCTGGCCTCCCCATATTGAGGTCCTAATGGGTTTTTAGTGGTGAGACGTAATTGTATTTGGGCCGCGTCAGACTTCTTGTAATGAACTGCTTATCGCTGCAACCCAAGACCGCACTCTCTTGCCTGCTGCTATCATGTAGCCACAGAAGCCACCAGTTCAAGCCTCTCCATGCATCTCAAATCGATTTCCCGTCCCGCACCGTCTCTATCCTCTTACCACATGATTCAATTTTTGAGGGGTGGGAAATGGGATGTAATGAGATGTGAGCTCTCACCTCATAAGTGCTGCTGCTCGCACCTTTCACCTGATTCTGCCTCTTGTTTGTGTTCACCCCCTTCCATCTGCAGTGGCTGGGTCCTATCTGTGTCTGACGACTTCTTTACTCCCTGAGTGGTTTTCTTTTCCTTCCCCTCACATCCATCACCATCCCTATTGTCTAATGTTTCCCGGCGATTGGTCTTTTGTCTTTCCGTTCCTCTGCTCACTCTCTTCAGTACTTTATCAAGACAGAAGAGAAGAGAGCGGGAAGCTTTTGGCCAGCAGGAGCGCGCAGACATATTTCCTGCCATACATTTGTCTAATTTGGAAGCATTTTCTGCTTCCCTTATTTTCATCTCCTCCAAGCTTTTGCTTTATCAAGACATTATTTGTTGTCTTCATCCAAGTGTCTTGGTCATTCTTTCAGTTTTTTTTTTTACTCTCCATCACCCCGTTCTCGTGTGAACAATGTTTTCTTCATGTGTCATGGACCTAGGAGATGGATTGCAAGAGGAGCGTGTGGACACCAGCCCCTCTGCCTCCTCTGACTCTTCGTGGACATCATTTGACCTTAGCACCGACCTCACGTCAATCAGCTCCGACCATGCCTCGACTCCTGTGACCGGTCCCAGTGGCGGTAAAGCGTTCGAGGACCGGCGCCTGAAGACATCTTATTCAGTCAAGGTCTCTTCTGAAGTGCGAACCAGGGAGGTGGCGTGGAGGGAGACATCTTTTCTCGGTGATGATGAGTAAGTGCATCATTGTAATAACTAGAGAATTCATCAGGGACAAGGTGAAAATAAGTGACAGAATCACTTTCATGTGCAATCTACTGGTGAGAAATAGGAATTTGGCCACACCCTTTTCCCAGTATAATCAGATGACTTAAAATGAACATTAAGCACATAATATTGTACAGAATGAATGACACTCATATTGCTGCCTTGCAAATAGTCTTTTCCTACATGTTGAACTACATGCTAAATGCTAAAGTTGGCATGCTAACCTGCTCGCGTGATAATGTTGACATGCTGAGGTTTATCAGGTGTAACGTTCACCATGTTATTTTAACAAGTTAGCGTGCTAACATTTGCTAACGAGCACAAATTGGAGATATTTGGTTGTGTACCAAAGTATTGTGGCTAAAAGTCAGGGTCAGTAAAGCCATTAGGATCCATCATCTGGAAGTCATGGATGTCTATATTCGTCTAATAAATGCTAAGCTAAATTTTAACTTGCTGATAACACCCAATAGGACACATTTTGACTTGGTGCGGCTAGATAGTCAGGGTCAGATTTATCCTCTAGGGACGGTAAAAGTACAGAATTTCAAGGTAATCCATCCGGTAGTTAAGTAATGACTTCACACTGTACTTAAGTTGTGGACAGACCAACTGACAGATACTACAGTCTCCAGAGTCGCACCGCTGGCATTGTAAAAAATAAGTCAATATGGCCTCATGCCAAAGTGTCCTTGAAAGCAAGGCACATAATTCCTGTCAGCGTCATGTCACTCAAATGCATGCATGATTGTGTGCATTAGATTCACATTTAATCAAGGTAACAGTAAACATGCCATTCTCCATGATGCAGTTAGTTTTAAATACGCCAACTTGATTTGACCTCTTATTGTAATGAGTCTCTCAGTGTTTTCTAGTCAGTGCCAGAATGCAGCAATGAGATTCATTATTTCCCATATTTTCATCAAAATTCAGTCAGCGGATTGAATCTGTTCCCGTAAATCATTTCTGTCTCATGTATTATACTGATGTAGACTACAGTGCAATATAACGAGTCCGTTGATACAAACACAAGGTAGATCAATACGTTTTCATTAAGACCACCAATATCCATAAGTGGTTTTGCATACTTTCTGCGCTTCTGATGGCGCTACATTGATATTTTGATCAAGACACTTGGCGGTCTTTAAAAAAATCATTCTGTGAAGGCAAGGCTTGTTCTTTCCCCCTTTTTAGCAGCAAGAAAAATAACACTAACCCCTCTAGAAAGGATGGGAGCCACCAGCACATGAATGCAAGTGTTCTCACTGAGACTTAGCTTTCAGCCCACAGTGGTGGTGATTATCTGTTTCATCTGGTTTTAATCATGAGTGCTTCAGTAATGGGAGTCTGATTCCCAGTAGCAGGACTGTGAGAGCGGATAAAACAAGCCCTGCGTTAGTTTAGATAGAGACCATAAATCACCTCTCCTCCTTGAATTCTTTAGAGAATCTCAGTCTCTGGCAAGTGGGAAAACCCTGGGTGTTGTTCATCAAGCCTTTCTTTTTCTCTTTCCTTTTCTTTGCTTCCACTCTCCATCACTCCACCAAGCCCTGATATATATAATTACCCTTTCACAGAAAGACAAAAGTCTGAACACACTCAGTGGATGACACTCTCACCATGTCTTTAAATCAGCTATAACTCCCTGCGGAGTGTTCAGTATCTTTACACGGAGACTGATTAAACTTTTGAGGAATATATCAGAACCAGCGGAGGAATATGAATGCATTTTGCTCTTTAGATCTGGGTTCCCATCTTAAAACAGAATATCTGAATAGAAATGGAAAATAACACTTTGCATATTATACATATACAGTTATACATATTGTTATGCACATATAAAAGGATATACAGAATACAATATTTACAAAAATGCCTTTCATACTGATCAATTAAAAAAAAAAAAATTCTGACTTAATTTATTTCATTTTAATGATATCACATTTTTTATGATATTTCAAAAAGTTTGGGCAAAATTCGCTTTGTTACTTGGAGAAGTCGCTAGTGACCCTTCACTCTTCCTCCACTTTGCTTCCTCCTCCTCCATATTTACCTCTTTGCGCTCTCTTCTCTGACTCCGTAATGTGCAGGGAAACAGTTAATGTTCTTCTGCTGTATTTAAAGTCTAAAAAGGTTACAGCGGTCAGTGCGCTTAAACCCCATTGGCTGGTGCATTTAGGGAAGCTTAGCAATGATTGGACCATCTGGAACAAGATGGAATGCCTCACGTGAGAATAATAATATGAATAATAATATAATTAGCAGTTCTGAACATACATTTTGCTGCTTTTGCCAATGCTGAGCCATAGTTTTATAAACAAAACTAAAAATCACATCCCCAGATGTGAAGAGAGGTAGGGAGGGTGAGAAAAGAGAGGCAGCCTGAAGAGGATCATACCACAGAGGGAGACAGCAAGAGATGTAAAGAAGGAGGGGGGGCAGATAAAGAGATTAAGCGACTTTCCTTCATGCTGAATCAC